CAGGTGTGGCTGGTCTCCTTTTGAAGGGTGCACTTGGAACTTTTCTTTTTTGTGCTTCCAGTGAACTTTTGTAAGTCAAATCGGCGAGGAATCGATATTCTTTCAATGGTGGAAGCGTATCTATTGATTCGGCACCGATTGTCACCGCCGTTGCATATTTCTGCCAATCTATGTTCCTTGTAAGATCAAATGGAACTCAAGATGGTTCTACAGAGTGAGGGGCACACTTAATTGAAATGATGATTGGCAAATGATCACTACCATGGGGATCATTGATAACCTTCCACAGACAATCCAATGATAGCGATCTTGAACACAGAGGTAGGTCGAGTCGGCTTTCTCGAGCCGGAGGTTTTGCTATACGTGTCGCTTCACCAGTGTTTAAAATAGTCAAGTTGAAATCGTCGCATAAATCGTAAAAAATAGCCGCTATATTGTCGTCATATAGATCGCCCCACCTAGTACCATGGGAGTTCATATCACCCAGAATTAATGCTGGAGATGGAAGAATCGAAACTAGATTCCAGAGTTGACTACGGCTAATGGAGGTTCTTGGTAGAACATAAACTGAAGCTATGCAAAGGTTCTTCAGATTTATTTGGCAAGCGACGATTTCGACGCCTAATAGAGCAGGAAGGGAAATTTTGTAGAAAGGGTAGCACTTTTTGATCCCTAAAAGTACTCCTCCATAACAATCGTTTCTATCCAGGCGTATAATGTTAAAATCGTGGAAGTTGAGTTCTTTATCGGAAGAAAGCCATGTTTCACAGAGAGCAAATATATCACAATCAGAATTGTGAAGTAAAAATTTGAACGAGTCTAGTTTAGGCACTAGACTACATCCCCATTACCCTGAGAATTTGGCAATCTTCTGGAGGTGACTTTAGTTTTCTTACGGCGCACTTTCGGGGAAGGACATTTTCTTTTTTGTGATCCGTCCATTTTTGAAGGTGCGTGTACCACCGTAGAATCACCCTCATCGGATAAGTCAGAGTCCGATTCTTCAGCTGACAAAATCGAAAATTGGTTTTCATTTTGGACGGCTGATGCAGCCTTTACCATTTGTGCATATGACTGCTTGGAGCGTCCAGAGATTGAACGCTGCACTTTATCGGAGTGCTGTTTGTACATTGGGCACTCCTGCAAGGGGTGAGGATTCTCGCCACAATATGCGCATTTTACTGATTCTTTGTGGCAAGAATCCTCTTTATGGTTTTCACCACATTTGCCACAACGAGTTTTGTTGCCGCAATAGCTGGCCGAGTGTCCCAGCCTTTTGCAGTTGGTACAATTGTATACCCTCTGTACAAAAAACCGCACCGGAAAAAAAGCACCATCAATTTTAACATAGTTTGGGAGAACTGAACCTGCGAAAGTCACCCTAAACGAGTCTGAATGTCGATAAACTTTTTTACCGTCTAGCAAGGATACTGAGTGCAGTTGCCTTACATCCAGTATCTGCACTAGCGCGGTAGCGAATGTCGAGTTTTTAAAACTACCCGAGGCACGTTTCAAGTCCTCGACAGTCAGACTCGCGTCGGAGACCACGCCTTCTATCTCCACATCTCGAGAAGGGATGTAGATGTTATACTCAACACTAAAAAGCTCGTGGTCAGCAATTTTATTTGCCACATCATAATTCGGTGCTTCTACACGCAGTTTGTTGAATCTTTCCTTATGTACCAAGATTCCCGTAATGGTAATGTCGAGAGTTTTCAAAGGTTTATTTTTGGGTCGAAAAAAGACAACCCATGGTCCTTTCGAATACGGTTGGTAGTACCTGGTTCGCGCAACGTAGACATCCAAAGACGCCATAAGTGTTGCGCAAAAGCGGTGTGCAACCACTTAAAATGCAAAAAAAAAAAGAAAAAAAAAGCCCAGAAAAAAAAACAAAAAAAATTATGAAATATTGTTGCCCGGTGTACAATCAAATCAACAATATACAAAAATAATAATAATAATTAAAAAAACTTCTAACTACTTGATCAAGGTTGTCTCACTGTACACGATTCTCCCTTATCGGCCGAATACAAAACGAGCACACGTTGACGTGTCAGACTCGAAGCAGAATTTTGCCATACAATAGCGTAGCTATCGAAAGAAAACTATTCTATTATACTTAAGTCAATAACCGTTTCAGCTGATACAGACGGTACATACTCCTTTGCTGCTGCTTGTGTGTGGCTGCAGATGGTGAGATCGATGATGGTGATGATGACCTTTCACCAGTTTAGAGGTGAACACACGACATAATCGGGCTCGCCGAATTCCGGTGCTTCCGATACACGCGCGCTTATCACCTGGACACTGCACTGTGATGCGAAAAAAAACTGAATGTCTTGTGACGAGACCGGGACCGTGTTAACCGGCTCAGCGCTCGATACGGAATGAGCTGTGTAAGATGGCAGAGGAAATACAGTCCAACCTAACTTGTGGAGTGCATACGTGCATGCGTGTACTCAACATGACTCTGATAGAGATATAGGGTTGTCTTCCTTTGGCCTCAAGGGTATTCAAAGGTCGTAAAAGGGCGTAAAAGTCCCCGTGATCGAATTGAGCACAGAATCACTGTTCTGCCTGCTGATATTCGAACAAACGCTATTTGCACTTTACAACTATGGGCCAAACCTTAGGGACGTAATTAGGCCTACGTAATTTATTTGATAACTTTATATTGATAGTGGTGAAAGCATTTGCGTTGACGACACTCCAACACACACGTTTTACCTTACTCAAAATAGAGTACCGTAAAACGAGGTATCATTGATAATGCGGGTAACTTTGATAGTATAATGTAAAGATTAAATTTACTCGCTACGCTTTTTCCAAATTAGAAACATTGGTTCCATATTGTAGCTTAGAGTAGTTCCGGATATAGTTTTTATATAGAATGTGCTACACAGCGGCGCCGGTGATGTAGTAGTAAGCGTGATTACCTCTCACCCCAGCAGGCCTGGGTTCAATCCTAGTCAGCGCCGCCGGGATGTTCTGAGGCATTACATCTCTGATCACGCCTTCCTTCAGATGGGAAGTAAAGCCGTTGGTCCCCGGTTCATGAGTTGATGGGTCGATAGGTAGGGTCCAGGTGTGGGAGCTGCCTCCCTGGCGTCAGTAGCATTGGTGCTCAGCACGGAAAACAAAACCAAAGGAGAAAAAAAAAGTGCTACACATTTTACAAAAATATTAAAAAAAAAAAAATTTTCGTGTTTTTCGCCTGTTTGAAAAAGCACACAAACCATCTCTTATGAAAAGTATTTCTGATACAGCCATCACAAATTCAATGTTGAATTCTTATTGCTTATGAGGTTTTCTGATTGTATACTCATTCAAAGTTTTATATTTAAATAACAAAATTGTTTAAGTTTCACCCATTATTTTTCTACATTCATCGAGCATTATCAAAGTAACCCCAAATCAGAAAACTGAAGTTCGGTCACAAAACTAAAAAAATAGTGCAAATGCTTTAATTTCCGTTAAACATATTACTAAAGAATTGACCCTTGGATCCTCGTACTCGTTTTAAAAATTCTTGTTCCTGTTGGATCGCTTTCTAGAACCATTTTCACTGGGTCGTCGTGCGGCATTCTTACGACGTGCCCAGCCCTCCAATTTTTGCAATGTGGACGATGGATGGTTCTCCCAGCAGCTGGTTCATTCGCCTCCTCCACGTTCCGTCATCCATCTGCACTCCACCGTAGATGGTACGCAACACCTTCCGTTCGAAAACACCAAGGGCGCGTTGGTCCTCCACGAGAATAGTCCAGGTCTCGTGGCCGTAGAGGACCACCGGTCTAATCAGCGTCTTGTAGACAGTCAACTTCGTGCGGCGGCGAATTTTATTCGACCGGAGCGTCCTCCGGAGTCCAAAGTAGGCACGATTCCCTGCCATAATGCGTCTTTGAATTTCTCTGCTGGTATCATTTTCGGCGGTCATCAGTGAGCCCAAATACACGGACTCATCGACCACCTCGATTTCGTCACCGTCAATCTGAACTCGGGGTGGGAGGCTAACATTGTCTTCCCTAGAACCTCTTCCTTTCATGTATTTTGTCTTTGATGCGTTGATGGCAAGTCCAATCCGTCTAGCTTCAGCCTTCAGTCTGATGTACGTTTCCGCCATCATCTCAAAGTTCCGTGCCATAATGTCAATGTCATCGGCGAAGCCAAGGAGCTGGATGGACTTCCTGAATATCGTGCCACTCGTGTCTATCCCAGCTCTTCTGATCACACCTTCTAACGCGATGTTGAACAGCAGACACGAAAGTCCATCACCCTACCGTAACCCCCTTCGAGATTCAAAGGGACTCGAGAGTGTCCCCGATACTCGAACAACGCACATCACTCGATCCATCGTCGCCTCGACCAATCGCGTCAGTTTATCCAGAAATCCGTACTCGTGCATAATCTGCCATAGCTGATCTCGATCGATTGTGTCGTATGCGGATTTGAAATCGATGAACAAATGATGTGTGGGCACGTTGTATTCACGGCATTTCTGCAGAACCATGAATCCCGCCTGGTATTGCCCCACGAACTCTCTTGCATATGGTGACAGACGGCGGCATAGAATTTGGGAGAGTACCTTGTAGGTAAAAAGGTAAATTAATCATTAAACAATGACGATGTTCCTTAATAAGTAAAAAAAATCTCCTTAAAATAGATCGGGTTGCTCCTTAAATTATTGATCAAAATACGTTAAAAATCTTAAAATGCTCAGTGAATATTTAAAGTACGCTCCCTAAAATAGAGAAAACTGTACATTAAGCATTTGAAAATGCTCCTTAGTATGCACCGCTTTGCACCATTTTGAAGTGTTATTGTACCATATATCATCGGAAAAGCTGCTGTAGAAAGGTTAATAAGTACCATGAAATTAGCTGAAATGATCAGTAAATCATTGTGTGCATTTGTGTGTCGGACCCGTCGTGCAGGACGAGCTATTCAGTCTCGTTCTCCGTTTCCGGAAATTCTTGATCGCTTTGGTGGCTGACATCGAGAAAATGTACCGCCAAATACTGATGCATGTACACGATCGTCTCCTGCAAAGAATTCTGCGGCGCTTCAACACTTCACAACTGATTCAGGAATATGAACTATGCACTGTCACTTACGGCCTCGCACCGTCCTCGTTCCTGGCTACACGAACACTTTTGAAGTTCGTCGAAGATGAAGGGATCCCGTTCCCGAAAGCAAGCACGGCCATCAAGAAGAACACCTACGTGGACGATATCCTCGCCGGAACCGATAGCATCGAAGAGGCTATCCTCCTTCGTGAAGAACTAATTGAACTATTGCAGAAAGGTGGTCCAATTCGCTTCCCGTTTTATCTGGACTCCCTCCTGATGTTCTTGGGACTTATTCGTCGCTGAGATTCGATCCTGGAGAAATAATCAAGACCCTTGGAATACGCTGGGATCTTGAGGCAGATGTTTTCCGTCTTGATGTCTCCATCGCCGTGAAAAACCAAACGCCCACAAAACGTAACATTCTGTCAGCTATCGCACAGTTCCACTCGGGATCTTCGCACCCGTCGTAGTTCAGGCGAAAATGATCATGCAGCAACTGTGGCTTTCGGCATTGGATTGGGACAAAGAAGTATCACCCGACTTGTAATGTAAGTGGAATCAATTCTGCGAACAACTTCCAAACCTCTCCAACTTTTGTATCGAAAGGTATGCGTTCGTTCCCGGCTATTGCATTGCGGAAGTGCACTGCTTCGCAGACGCGTCAGAAGTAGGCTATGGCGCATGCATATGCGTCCTCTCCGAAACCTCTGAAGGGCGTGTACAAGTGAGCTTGCTTGCTTCGAAGTCAAAGGTTGCCCCCTTGAAGCCACTCAGCATCCCGCGCCTAGAGCTTTGTGCCGCGCTGCTTGCCTCCCGCCTGTTTGAAAAGGTCGACGCCGCATTGGATATGAAGTTCTCTGGATGTTTCTTCTGGTTTGACTCAACGATAGTTATCCAGTGGCTAAAAGCACCCCCACGAACGTGGAAGACGTTTGTGGCGAATCGTGTCGCCGAAATCCAAACCATTTCTCATGGTTTACAATGGCAGCATATTTCCGGGAACGAAAATCCTGCTGGTATGATCTCGCGAGGAGTCTCCGCCGAAGACTTGATCACCAGTGAGCTATGGAAATATGGACCCAGGTGGCTGCGTGAAGAAAAATCAAAGTGGCCTGTTCAAGCCTGCCTAGACAGCAAGTTCACCGACGAAGAATTGGAGCTGAAGAAGAGTTTGATCTTGACTACCCAAGTGCTCACACCAAACCCGCTATTCGAAACATTTTCATCGTTCCAGACCCTGCTTGGTACAGTTGGATATTGCCTTCGTTTCTGCCACAATGCTCGCAACAAAAAGCAGCGACATTCCAGTAGGATTCTTTCCGTTGCTGAATTACAAAACGCCAAATTAGTTCTCGTGCGCATAGTTCAGGCTGGAGCATTCTCCGAAGACCTGCAGCGTTTGAAGAAAGGACAGATGGTCACGAACAAATCTTCTCTTCACCTACTGAGCCCGTTCATCGACGCTGATGGCTTGATCCGTGTGGGTGGCCGGTTGCGGCTGTCCGTATTGCACCGTATAACGTAAAACACCAGATTGTCATCCCCGGTTTCCACCCCTTTACACATCTTCTTTTGAAGCACCATCACCGCAAGTTCGTCCATGGTGGAATTGAGATGACCCTGTCAGTCGTCTGTGATGAATTCTGGCCGCTGAATGGCCGAAAAACAGTTCGAAGTGTCATACGAGAGTGCTACGAGTGCAACAGAGCAAACCCGCAACCCATCCAGCAACCGATTGGTTAACTTCCCATCGCCCGTGTTACCGCCAACGAAGCCTTTGCCTGCACCGGCGTTGATTATTGTGGTCCCATTTTCCTCAAGCCAATACATCGCAAAGCAGCTGCCCGCAAATCCTACATTAGCATCTTCGTTTGTATGAGCACAAAAGCGGTCCACCTGGAGCTCGTGAGTGACCTGAGCACAGTCGCATTCCTGATGGCACTTGATCGGTTCGTTTGGAGAAGGAATAAGCCCCAGCACTTGTATTCAGACAACGGCACAAACTTCATCGGGGCGAAAAATGAATTGCACGCGTTGTACACTATGCTCCAACCCGGTCCCGACAACAACAAGATCGTCAAACGCCTCGCCGAAGACAGCATCCAGTGGAACTTGATCCCTCCTCGTGCTCCTAACTTCGGTGGCCTCTGGGAGGCGGCAGTGAAGGTTGCCAAAACTCACCTCGTTCGTCAACTCGGCTCTTCTTTGCTGTCCTTCGAAGAGATGTCCACGGTGCTTATTAAAATCGAATGGTGCATGAACTCTCGTCCACTGTTGCCCTTTTCGAGCGACCCGAATGATCTTATCACCCTCACCCCAGCGCATTTCTTGGTGAGAAATATGATCCGTCCTCTTCCCGAAGCAGATAACCGAAATGTGCCGTTCAACCGGCTTAGCCAGTACCAAAAGCTTCAGAAGCACTCGCAAATGTTTTGGCACCGTTGGCGAAATGAGTATTTGAAGGAGTTGAACCTACAGTACCGGATCAACCCGAAGCGTTACCAGCTCAGCATCGGTGACGTCGTCATTGTGAAAGATGATTCTCTTCCTCCTGCCCGCTGGCCGGTGACCCGCATCCTTGAGCTTCACCCCGGATCTGACGGAGTTACCCGAGTGGTTAGCCTTCGAACTTCAACTGGAATTTTGAAGAGAGCAGTCTGCAAAATTTGCCATTTGGAGTGTGCCGTAGAAGAGTAAGATTTGCAAACAACAACACATTTATTGAAATGAGTAAATTACCGTTTGATTTAGTATAATTTGTTTCGCAAATAATTTGCGAAGGTGGCCGGTAATAAATTGAATCACTACTCTAGTTAGAAACGGCACAATGAAATATTTCGGTAGCATAGCGCTTTTCGCTATGTTTTCGCTCTTAGTTCGCATTGACAGCTAGAAATGTCATGTTTTCCCATTTTGAATAAAACACAAAGTAAAAAGGTTGAAAGGGAGTGCAAGCGTTTTCTGTCTATCCGCGAGAAGTTCGAGTTTTTCCCCGTTGTAGTTCCGGATTTGTTTTATTTTTCACTCGGCCTGAACCGTGCTACATTGCGTCCTTCGGAATCGTTGTTGGATGCACCCCAGATTGTGCGAATTGCCATCGTCCGTTCTGTTCGTCTCCTTCGTCAAAGTTCCATCGTCCTCGCTGGTTCTGCATCTGAAAAGGAACGAAAAATGAAAGCTGACCCGTCCCGTTGAAGCCCTTCCCGTATAGCCAGCGCCGGTGAGTCACCCATACCCCAACAACATGTCTGTCAACTCAATGTCAATGGAAAGGCTAAATGCGTATAAGAGCTACCTTATGTTAGACAAAAATCTTTCATAAGTCGTACTTATGAAATTCATATCTGTTGTTCATAAGACGAGCCTTATGAAATTCGTAAGTCTATTTTTCTCAGTGTATCATTCAGCTGAGTAAGATAAATTTAACATGGTTGCCGTGTTGCTGTTGCAAAGGCGACAAAACTGTTGAGGTGTCTTCCATTTTTTGCTATTTGGTTTGTAACTGTTCTATACCCCACTTTCAGTTTTCATCAGTGTCAATCCCACTGTTAATCCCACTCCTAGGTAAAAATGTGTGATCTTGGTATGTTTACCTAGGAGATGAGTACTTAAGGGGATTAGATTTAGATAAGTTTTTAGTGGGATTGACTGCACATTGTAGTAGAAATACGTATTTGTTTGTACTATGTTACTCTAAGCATTCCTTTTATTGAATTACACCGTTAACTGAAAGTCATCTGAAAATGAGTCTCAGTTAGCATAACCTTGTCTGTCATAATTATACATCATCACAATGTAATAAATATTTCTATACATTTCAAACCGGTTTGTTATATGACATCAATTTCAATTAGTAAATGCCATTCGCTAGGTGATAATCCAATATTGCCGAACGTTGAGTGTACATGTTTTTAATCTAATTGTGAATGGAATTGAATTTGAATTTAATGATTAAAAAATGTAATCCCCATTTTAAGATAGTTTGTACCGTGAATTTCAAAACACTGTTGATTTTTAACAGAACTAATTTTGTTGATTTGGAAAAAATATAATTTATTTATTTTGTTTATTCAATAGAATTGTTTTGTTAATTTCACGGCCCAATAATGCGGTCGTAGTTCGGACACAACCCTTTTTTTTACTTAGAACAACGTCTGTGAATTCTATATGCGGGTACAGCTTGTGAAAACCGAAAATGGAAGATGTAACACAATTATGAAAGATTTTGAACATTATTAACTCAGCTGCCCCTGGACCAATTTCAATAATTTTATAACCAATCAATCAGAAATATTTCTACGCATCAATTAAAATGCTTTCGACTGATGATTTTCAACAAGAAACGTTAGAAAAAGTGGTAATGTTAAGCATTGTTCAATGTACAAATAAAAAGTGATAGTTTTATCACTGCTTTTACGAAATAAACGTTCTTCTCAAACCCAATCGTCATAATCGAGTACCACTTGGTTGCTGCTTTAGCCTGAAAAGATATAAAAGAGCGCTGCTGTCTAGCCTCAAATCATTCGTTGCTAGACCGTCTAGCAGTATAGTTCGTTCGTTCGTTCGCTTCGCTATCGAGTTTTTTCTAGTTCGTTTTATTGCTACGTTCGCGTCGTGGAAGTGCCGTCATCGACAGGCGCATTGGCAAGTCTAATTGCACTTGCCAATAAACAAAGCATGGTACGCAAGCGTACTACTGCTCCTGCATCGGAGAACCCTAGCATGAAGGCCCAAACGGATCCCAGCGCTGCTTCGGATGACGCAACAAATCGGCTGCTATAGAGCAACCAATTCTCGGTACTCGAAATAGAAAATGGCGGTGGTGACGCCGCTGAAATTGCGGAGCGGATTCCCCCGCTGTTTACCCCGATGAAGGACGTCGCCGAGCTTAGGGATGAGCTGGCAAAACGCAAATTGTTCCCGCGATTCAAAATCTGTAGCGTTGGAACAAAGATCCTGTGCTCCAGCGTACAGCAGTACAAGTCGGTCGGTGACCTGTTGAAGAACAGCACAGTGGAGTTTTACGCTCACGATTTGCCTTCGATGAAACCATTGAAGGTTGTTTTACGAGGTCTGCCGTCGTACGAAGCGGCTACCGTAAAAGATGAGCTGGTGAGGCTCGGATTGAAATCAGAGGCAGTTCACCCAATGAATCGACGGCCTATGCCCAATACCAACTATCGTGACCAACTGTTCCTGGTCCACCTCACGAAGGGCTCCACCACCCTTGCTGCGCTCAAGAGCAACATACGTGACCTGTTTCAGGTCATTATCGACTGGGAATACTACAAGCCGCAACACCG